AGCGCAATTTGAATAGCACTTTGAATGGAGGCATCTCCTCCTATAACCTGATTATCATGTGCATTAACTTCCTGCAAATGCATCCGCGTCAAAGGAGTCCGGAGTCTACGAATCTTGGCGTTCTTCTGCTCGAATTCTTCGAACTCTATGGCCTGAGCTTTAATTACGCTCAAATTGGAATTTCCATATGGAATGGCTATGTGCGCAAAGAGAACATATTGGTGGGCTCTAGGACTCCCTCGCTCTACATTGACGATCCACTGCTGCCGGGACGGCAGAACTCACGCAGCTTCATTGCATCTTGTCACATCAAACGGGTCTTCCAATGGGCCTATCGTGTGCTCAACGAGGCATTATTTGCAAAAGCTGAAGAATGTGACTCGCATCATAGGGCTGGTTTCTCTATATTGGGTAAGTGGGCTTACAATACCCTGTATTATGCAGAGCGCAGAGGCGAGAAGGAGAAAGAGAGAGAGAGCTCCCCCAATATCTACAACTTAATCTAATACTGCCTGACTACAGGGTATCGCCAGTCATGCTATTCTCACCTTCATCTCACTTTTTAGGTTCCATTATTCATATAACAGATGAGCGGATCGACTATAGAGCCTGGTTGCGCAACAAGTTTCACCATTTGGTTGTCTTGGAACCAAAAGTTCTATGGAGTAAAATCTGATGCTCTAAAGCTCTAAAATTTGAAAAACAAAATATATAAAATATATTTTTAATTATTTCTAATTACCAAATAAAATATAAATATTCGTTGCGTATTTTTTTAAGTGTCTAAATAATATTGTTTTCGATTTTACATAATATTTGAAAAATGTATAAGATACATATATAAAAATTGCAATAAATTAAATTAAATTACATGCAAGCTTCAATCAAATATTTTTAAATTTACAATCGAACCCGTTCAAAGCCTAGTCTATCGCAAGGACTGTCTTTAGTTTAAGCCAAGCCATATCTGTTCAAAATAAATACCAAAAAACATGACACAGGCTTACACAAAAAGTTCAAATGCGCACAAATCGCGCCACAATTTATTTGGCCTAAAACAATGGGCAAATGCTAAACTAGGCGTCTAAACAAATAGCAGCACCAGCAGCAGCAGCAGCAATGGGCATAAATCCTTTCACTAAAGCGCGCACTCGACAACACTGGAAAAAAGAGACTATATAGAATATAAGGGAAAAAAAAGAGAGTAAAGAAAAGGCCAACAGCAATGGGCAAAGTGCGGTTTTTGGCACTTCAAATACCGCAGTCGATGGGTGAACGTAGAGCAGCTTATAGACAATTCAAATCAACATGCCCTCCCCCACCCGTTCCACACGGTAAGGGGTATGCATGGGTTTGTCATGTCATTTTAATCAAAAACGACGCAACGGCAACATGCAACGGATTATCCGGCAGCTAAACAACACCCCTAGCGTAGCCTTAGAGTAGAGCCGAGAGAGGGAGAGAGAGAGAAAGATGGAAAGAGAGACTAAATCGAACCCCAAACCAAAATTGTTAACCAAGCTATGTTTCCCATGCGCTGACTGAATGAGAAGCGATTCGTGTTGACAATTGCCATGCAGCCAACCATATAACAATTAAATGTGCACTGAGGCTCAGCCTACTTAGGTGCTATAAACGAGCCATGTATATACACTGAGCGAAATAATTAATTATTACAATATGCTATACGATTTTCTACTACACAAATAAACAAATTCGAAGTTAAAAAAAAGAAGCGGTTACTTTACTATATTATTATATTTATTTATTATACATATAAATATATTCAAAGCAAAATATAGTAATTTATTTATAAAATTCTATAATTATACATATAAACTCGATATGAATAACTTAAAAGTTTTACATTTACTGTAAAATTTCGAAAGCACATTTTAAATTTATTTTATTTTATTTTTAAAAAAAGTACTCCTAATATATAAAATTCGTTGTAAATCTTGTTCGACCAGTTAAAAAATCGATGCTTATCTAAAAATCTTAGGAACATCTATTTAATTGCTTATAAGACGAACCAAAGAATACCAAATTTAAAATATATATTCTTTGTGAATAATATGAAATTAGACATAAAGCTAAATAAAAATATTGTCATATGAAGAAATACACTAGAATAGTGGTAAACAAAATATTTTTATACATTAATTTTTAGACAACAAACCTATTTTTAAGGAAGTTTTGAGAAAAAGAATATAAATTTAATTTTCAATATTTTCAATATATAACAACAATTAAAAAATTAAAATTAAAAAATATATATAAAAAAATATTAAATATAAAAAATATATATATAAGATACTTAAAATATTTTTTAAAAATCCATAGAACTAATTTCAACCGGAATCTGAAATGTAAAAATGCCTCTACCAAACGTTAACAAATATCTAATTTAACTGAAATTATCCCTAGCAAAACATTCTCTAAGTGCACGAATACACATATTATTTTCGAAACGCTTGCGAATTTATTGAACCGCAACAAATGTCATTGATGTCATCATCATGATCAACTGCTTTGACAGGCGTGTCCGTGCATCCATATTCACACATCTTTTATTAGCAACAAGTTTTTTAATATTGCATCAGCAGGAGCTCTAGCAGGAGCCGTGGCACTGGCGAGGGGCAGACAATGCCATCATAAAAGTAGCTATAACAATAGCACTCTGGTCTGTGGGACGTACTCGCTAGTCCCTAGTCCCCTGGCCCCTACCACATGTCCTGGAATCGCGCATTACCGTCGCGTATCCTGCGCGCTGATTTTTATAAGAATTTAATATGCGCCATGTATTTCTTTTCCTTTTGCTTTTTTATGTCTTTTCGGCTTTTATTTCTTTCCTATTTTTATCTGCGTCGCTACTCAATCATTTACACTAGAGCCATGTTGAGAGCTGTACAGCTGGAAGCATTTTAGGACATCCTTCGAGGAAGTGTATTCTTAAGTGATATCAGCTAAAAAAAATTGCAATACCTCTATATTTATTGTATATTAAATTATTAAATTAATAATTCAATTATATAATAAATACATTCAATATTTTTTTTAATTGATAGACATAAATAATGGAAATAAAAATTTGAAATTATGAAAAACTGATACATAAATAGAATATTTGACTTTTCAAGGATATACCATGTGAATGATTCGAACTGTTGGCCAGGCCCAATCTTACATCTTCGGCTGTATTTTTTCATTCATTACTTCATAACGATTATGAAATAAATACTTCCGTCTCTTTGAGCAGCGCACCTTGGCTGGTATCGATGGCTGTGTTGGGTATTATTGGGACATCCCAAGGATTCTCGCTTTTGAAATAAATCAACTGCATGTCCCGTTTGCTGCTGCTGTTGTATCGTGTATTTTATTGTTACGTTTTTTGAAGTTTGGAATTTTTAATTTATGGCTCATCCTTCATTGTTATAAGTTATATTTCTTCTACGGCTGCTCGCCAAATCCTTGAGCCATACGCTTATCGCTGGGATATGACAATGACAAAAAAAAAAATGGGAAGAACATTAGAAAAGGAATACATCTTCTCGTACCTACAAGTCGCAATAAAATATTTCACCCCCTGCCTGCCCCCCTCTAGCGCCTAGAGCTTGGGCGTTGCCGTCAGAGGCACAAAATTATGATGTATGTGCAATAAATAATCTCAAATAAATAAATTATCACCATGCCTGGGTATGTGGCCGTCGCCGAGTGGCGCAACTAATAGCTACCGGCTAGGGGGAACGGGTTCTACTTGGACTCTGCAATTTGATTTGTAGACTCTCTCGCTCTCTCGCTCTCTCTTTCACTCTGTCTGTCTATCTGTCTCTATTCTGCATATTTTTCACGGCGGTTTTACAGTTTTACAAGGGTGTTAATATCTGCGCCTTGTTAGTTTTCTCCGCTTTTTTCCTCTAGGCTCCTTTGACTGCTCATAAATCAACGCTTGATTTGGCGACTTCCATCTGGGTGTGTGTGTGTGTGAATCCCTTTGTCTATTTGCCCAGCACACGGCATCCTTTTGTTTTAATATGCCAAATATACTCGTCGTCGCCTGGCAGCGGCACCTACCTCATCTACTCTTTTAGTTTTTCTCTGCTATTTTCCTTCTTTTTTCTCATATTCTGTTTTTACAGCCATTTTTGCATGGAGGTTAACCCATTTAACCCCATGGCAACTGCTTTTGGTTAACCACGGACAACGTATCTGACATTTTTCCCTCGCCTCGGCTATGTGAATTGTCCCGACATATTGCCACGACACTCCGGAGGTCGACCTTTTTCGTGTTCATTGGCGTAGTGAATGAGAATTTTCATTCCCATTATTTGCGACGGCTCATATGCATATAAATATATATCTTTTTATATATACAAATATATGTATTAATAAATATATTTTTATTTATATTCATTTGACTTTGAACAAATTTTAAATTGTTGGTCTTTCATATTGGGTCGAATTTTAAATATGAAGTAAAATATTATTAGAATAAAATATTTTATAATTATTAAAAATTTATATTAAATACGTCTAAAAATATATAATCCTTATAAATACATATAAGTATTTTATTTAGTTTTGCTGATTGCATTTTTAATCAATTTTAAAACTCTTTGGAAAAAAAACACTAAAAATATAAGAAATATATTCAAGAATGATTTATATCCTCTTGATGAATTTGTTAAAACCAAAATCTCTACTTGCAGTTCTTATTAGGTATTAAAGTATACTAAAACATTTATAAATAATAATGTATAATTTATATTTATTACATTTTGCTTTCAATAATTACAAAAAAATTAGTTTGATAATTTTTTTAAATAGTAATAAGACATTAATTTTTATTTACATAGTGAAATAAAAAAATAGAATAAAAAAGAAAAGCTTTTAAAATAAACAAATTACTTCAATTTAATTTGCTTACCAAACATTTTGATATAAATTAAAATTATATTTAATATTGTAATTTGCACAAAATTTTAAAGTTAAAGTATTTAAAATGTAAATATATAATTTAAAGATATTTTGCATTAGAAACTTCAATAGTCTTCCCCAATCAATGAATTGCATGCAAAAACAAATTGGAATCCTCTGGCATTTGACTTGAGAGCGTTGCATGTGTTGTTGTTGTTGTTGTTGCAGCTACTGCTGCTTTTTCCACATTTTCAACACGATTTTTATCCAGTGCGAGGCCAACATTTTGCCGTAAGTGTCTTTGTCGCAATGTCGTAAATAAAGTCGGGTCAGGCCTCGTCGCCGAACATTGGAATTTATGCGCGTTGATTTATTTGCTGTTAGCGATTTATTGCTGCCGCAGGATGAGCGCAGGAGACAGAGCGAAGAGACGGGCAAATAGTGTAGAGAGCGGAGCCAATGAGAATATTTGTGATGTGTGTCTGCCAGCGAGAGAGAGAGAGAGACCGAGAGAGAGAGGGAGAGATAGAGAGAGGACGGGACAGACAACGGAACAGGACATACGTACGTATTGGGCATGTCCTGGTTATGTACGAATCCGTGCGCTGCGCTCGTTATTAAGTTTTTAATTTATGGCCAGGCACCAGCTAACCGGTAATTCAGCATTTCATATTACTTTTTCCATATATTTATTTGCAAAAAAAAAAAAATATATATATATATATATTTTAATTGAGCCTCAGTCTCACTCTCTAATCCTTGCCCGCTCGCCCGCTCAGTTCCACCGCCGCCTGTCAAATAAACGCCTCAGCTTGACGGCTTGACAAGCGTTACAAAAATATTGAAATTATTATTATGATTTTCTCTGACGCCCCAAAGAAAAATATATTAAATTTTTGTCGCAAAGCATGGAGCGAGGGTGAGTGAGAGGTGGCAGGGCGTCAGGCCAGGGGGCAGAGGAAATGCGAACGCCATGGTGTTGGCGTTGGCGGCTTCCGTCGGCGTCCACCGGCGACCGCAGACAACTGCACACACACACAGGCACACTAACACACCCGCTATCCGCACACAAATTCTAATTTCTCCACTCAGTCGCAAAACAACGCAAAATCATAAAAAAAAATAATAATAATAATATGGGAAAAAAAAACAGAAACCAGAATAAAATACCAGAAATATTTCTAAGCATGCGTTGACGCCAAGGACCAACGCCTGGAATGCTGCTCCCTGGTTAGCCCAGGGCTTCCAAAATGAAATTATATTTTATGTGCTTGGGTTTGTTTGCTTTGCTTTATTTTCGGTTTCTATTTTTCCGGGCTACATACCTTCTCTCTGTTTTTTTTTTTTTTTTACCCTGATCGCCCCGTGGCCCTGGGCCAAACTCTCTGGAATCACATTAAGCAAACATTTAAATTTAATTTCGCATGTAATGAGGCATTTGTTTGTTTATTTTTTGCTTCTTCTTGCAGTTTACACCCTGAATCGTTGAGATTCTGGTTACTGGTTCTGGTCTCTGGCATTCGGATTTGGGTTTCAAGTTTTCGTTTTTGGGGTCGAGTCCTTCAGTGCGCTTCAATTATTACTTTCTAGCAACATTTTGTTGTTCCTGGGGAAAGATGTGAGCTAGAGCTTGGGACTGAAGAGAATTAGATGCTGATGTGTTTTGAGTAAGGCAAGTAAGCCAAAAGTATGGAACTTTAATTAGAGACTAACACTGGGAATAAATGGGAATGATATTACCGAGCTTAAAACTTAATAAACTTAGCCTTAGGAATATTTGCTTTTATTTAACATAAAGATGTATTACCTTGTTATGATATTCAAATTTCCTTCTTCCTGTTTTACAAATCACATTATCAGCATTCACAGCTTGACTAATTACAGCCAATTCTGAGAATTGACTAATTTTTTTAAAAATTGAATTGTTATCTGGTTTCATTCTTCCTGCATCAGCTCAAAATCTCGTTCACTTGGCTGTCAACAACCTCACAAAGAGGTCCAAGTGCTGACTGCAGATATGATAAATAAACTGAAAAAGTCATCAGCAAAAAATGAAACGATATTTATCATACTTATGTCAAACAGCGAAGCATTTGAGCGGTGAGAAAGGCACGACAATCGGTCCATTAGCAAAGAGAAAAACTTAAGAGATTGCGAAAAAAATAAACGTAATGCGAGGGTTGCTTGGCAATTATTTGGTATTTTAGTTTAGTAGATGAATTTAATAGTACAATAATTTTATTTGAAATTTAAAATATTTTCTAAATTAATAAATAATAAATAAAATAATAATAATAATAATAATAGTAATAATATAAAATATTAATAAAAAATAATATTTGAAATAAAAAAAAAACTGTATTATATGAATTATAAATCAATGAAATAAAAACACAATAAAATAACATTCAAATCAAAAACAAGTTTGATTGTATTGAAGAATCTAAAATATAAAAAAAAAGAATTTATATAATCCTATGTGTAAAAATTATCCATATAAATTTAAATAACTATTAATCTATATATAAATATAAATTTATTAACAATTTTAAGGACTACCCTCGTTGGCATAAACTATTAACAATTAATTGCACACACGGCTAAAATGTAAAACAATTTGAGTAACGCATAAATAATCGCAGACACCTAAAGACTATAAAAAAAAAAAAACAAATCCATTAGACTATGGCTCATTAAATCAAAAATAGCCTGCTCCATTTCGCTAATGGACAGCCGCTCCCCTACATCCACCCACCCACACACACACACCCACACACTGAGATAGACGCATGTGCGCCATCTTGAAAGTTGACTAATTTTTGGGGCGAGTAGCAACAAATGGCAGTTAGCCATTGTTTTTGTTGCCAGCTGCTGTGGCAGCCACTTAAGCCAACCAGGAAGGCAGTCAGCGATAGAGATAGAGATGAAAACAGAGATACAGAAAGAGACAGAGAGAGACGAAGCAGAGACTGAGACGGCGAACGCTGAATTTTAAAAATTGCAAATAGCACACAATTTGCCTAATTGGCGGGGGGCTGGCAGCAGCAGCAGCAGCACTAAGAGATGGATGCCTGCCTGGCTGGCTGGCTGGTTGGCTGTAATCGGGGCTGGGCAGGTAACACGAGTGCCATAATCATAAAAATGCTCACGATGATGGTGTGCATGCCGCGCATAATTATTGCCATGTGTGTGTGTGTGTGTGTGAGCGAGTATCTGCTAATGCGCCACCCCATTCACACCTGTCAATCTACAGCATAGGTGTAAGAAAAAAAAAAAATAACAGCAGGCAACAAACAAGCGTCGCATGCGCATGAAAGCAAATGCAACAGCCCCCAACGGAGGTATACAATATTTTTAATATGAAAAAACAACAACAACAAAGCTTATCAAAATGTGTGCGAAATTAGCTGATTGTGGCACTGAATTTAATGGAGCTGCGCATGATGAGACTGTGCTTAAAAACCTGGAAAACATTTCTTTTATTTAGCTAATTTAAATGTTGGTGAAAAAAGCGGATGAATTTGGCGAATACAAAAGGCATAGCAGACATTGAGCTGCCAATGTTAACTGGACTTTGTTATAAACCTTGAGAGTATTCAAAATAATAATTATTTACTATTTTACTTATACACAAAATATTTAATAAATACACAAAATATTTAATAATAAATAAAACATATCATTTTTGTTTCTTTTATATTTTTATTTTTTTAAAATATTCTTTTATCATAAAAATTATACTAACCAAAATGATGTAATAATTATTATTTTTACATTTATTACAAACAAATTTAGATTAAATTTAAACATTTTGCTTTTGAATATGCTGCAATTCAACCAGATTTATTTCTTCATAAAAATCTCCATCAATTCGTCATTTAGCGTTTTTCTTATTTTTTACTTAATTTAAAAATTATTTAAAATTATTGCATTTCATTTATGCACAAAATTGTTGCGGTTTCATTTTTGGTCCATTTTTTTGTATTTGCTGTTTTGACCACTAATTACATTTTAATGTAAATTAATGAATGTGCGCACTTAACTTGGCCACATTTGACTCCAGTCGTTGGCCTGTCAACTTGGCTGGGCAGGAGGAGGGTGGAGGGGCCGTCCTCACTTCTGGCGAGTCGACTGAGTCACAGTTCCATGGATTGACACACAGCACTTGGCACTTCGCACTTGGCTCATTAGGCGCTGCTGGTACGCTTTGACCGAGACTGAGGCCGAGATCCAGTAAGATATTCGGCCCCAACATTTTGATAAATGATTGAAATAAATGATGCTGAGTTACAGGCTTTATACTATGGCCAAATTGACAGAAACCTCAAATCGTGATTGCTGCGTATTTTTTTTTTTTTTTTTTTTTTTTTTTTTACTAAATAATTAAGTTAAATAGATTTTTTTCGTATGTCGGCAATCAAACATATTTTAAAAGTAAGAAAAGAAATAAATAAATAACTTTGAAATTTTATATATTTTTAAAATGTAAATATGTATATTTTTCATAAGCCTCACTGAAAAATTCATAAGTTTTTTTATCAACCATTAAATTTTGATTTATAACTAATCAATTCATAAATTGTAGATAAGCCTACTTACAGTCAAAGTTCGCAGAGTTTTACATTTTTTGTTTTCTTAATTGATATTTTGTAAAGAGATGAATCATTGTAAAATACCATTTACAAACACTGAAGTAACTTTTTAAAAAAGAATATTTTACGGAATTAATTCAATACTTAATAGCAATCTGAAAATGTTTCCATTTTATCAATATTATTTTTTTAAATTTATTATATATTAATTTTTAATAAATTTATATAGTATATAACAAATAAATAAGAGCTTTGTTCCATATTGCACTGAGAGGAGTAAGCTATGGCGCTGCTGAATTCTGGTGTAAGAACTGAGTATGAACAAATCAGTATGAACAGCTCAGTATGAACAGCACTTTATACTGCACTGTGATGAATGAGTCTCCTTCTCTGCTTAAGTGATCGCTTGTTCAAAGAGCGACATAATTTATCAAATATAAAAGATTATAATATAAATATCGTAACATAAAAACATTTTTATAATTTTTTTATTTTTTTTTTATTATAATTTAATTTATTTAATAGTCAAATTAAAATGTAAAATTTCTGTTATTGTAATTTTAATAAAATTGTACAAACATTTTACAGGTCAGTTAAAAAAATTTTTTTTGCTAAATAATGCTGTTAACTAACTAGTTGCTCATTAGTTGGCTTTTCAGCTAGCTTCCAATACACTCAACGTAAGCATTTCAGCCTGAACTTTTGCACATTTTGTGGCCAAACAAAGCGTTTGCCAAGAAAAACTGCAAATAATATGAAAATGGTTTACAAAATTTGCGCTTGTTAGTTATTTCCGCTAAGAAAATGGCTTGGGTGACCAAAGAGGAAACTACGTAAAGAGCCCGTTTCTTATTATTATTTAGATTTTAGTTTTATTCCAATTTTTTTTTTTCTTCTGGCTGTTGCTGCTGCTGCTTGTTAACATATTTTATGCATTTCTTAACTTGTACAGCGCCGAGTTAACGAGTAAAATTTCAGCTTGCTTATTATTATTTACGCTGCTTTGCAATATTTTTTTATTCCAAACGTCGGTGGCTGCGGGGGTGAGAGAGGGTGTGGCCAGCATTGTGGTTATCATAGTTTAACAAGTTTTCAAAGAGCATGAAATTTCTTTGGCCTGGCGAAAATGCTGAAAATGCGTGCAAAAAACTTTTTATCGTTAGCACAGAAAATGCTGGAAAATATTGCATTAAAAGAAGCCGCGGCTTCTGCTGCTGCTGATGCGGCTGCTGTTGCTGGCATTGCTATGCTCCACCCACATTGCTACCTGTTTGCCCGCCAGCACCGTTAGCAGGTGTATTGTCCGAACTGCCGCCATTTTGTTTGGCCAGCGCGCATTTTGTTAATTTTCAGCGCCTCAAAAGCCAAAAGAAAGTTGCCTTAGTCTTCAAGCAACTGTGCGCCCGTGTCCTTTTCTGGCTGCTGCTTCCTTCTGCAGCTATTCACTTGCAGCAGCACCGCCATTTTGTTGATGTTGTTGTTGTTGTTGTTGTCGCACAGTGCCTTGCAAAATGAATTCATAATTAGATGACACCATCCGTGCGTAAATAATAATTTTAGTCGTATATATTCTTTTCTATCCAGCCACGCGCACTCACTCCGCACCCTCTCGCTCCTCGCTCTCGTCTTTCTAGTTAGTTAAAACGCGCGAATGAGTTTACTTGAGTTTCCACGACTTTCCCACCTTCCCACGCCTCCCACTCTCCTCTCCTGACGCATTGTGAGCGAAAAATTGTGTGGCGGCAGAAGTTTTTTGCCAGCCTGGCAATTTCTTCAGTTCCAATGACTGCTCCCGTGCGTAAGGTTGAACAACTTTTTATCCAAATCTTTTCGTTTTTATTTTTCGTATACACTATATAATAGAGATCAGTCTGAATATATATCATCATAATTAAAAATATAAAAATATCCAAATTTAAAATTCTTTTAAATTGCTAAACAAATTTTAATAATAATATACATTAATATTTAATATTTCTTTATATATTCTTTGAGTTCTCTATCTGACATAAGTTCTTTAAAAACAAATATTATACAAGTAGTTAAGAAAATAATTTTTTTTTTATAACTATTTAATTAAACAATTCAAAACTTGGATTTGCATCCAACTTTTTTTTTACAATTTATTTATTAATGTAAAACATTATTTTTAATTTTTATACTCACAATATACGATTTTTTTTTAAATTTCATGTAATTAATTTTATATATTTTTTATATTTTACACAAATACAAAATTAGGTTTGAAGTTTACTTATAATATTTTTAATAAGGAAATAAATATATTAAAAATAATAAATTTGCGATATTTTAATTTTTTGGTGTTGTTATAAAACTAATAGCATGAACAAAATTATTGCAAATATTTACGTACATAAATTAATTTAAAATAAATATTTCTTTAGAATTGATAAAAAATAAATATTTGTTTTTTAAATAATTTAATAAAATAATTTTGTTCGTAAATATTTAAAGATCTACATTTAAATTATTTATCAAAATAGCTTAAGGGTAATGTTATTATTTATATTCAATCTTTTTTCTATATTTATTTTA